TCCGGCTTTGAGAAAGGATCTGAGTCACTCTAGTCTCTTCCTCTGTTGACACTTTCAGATGCCTTTTCCGTAATCAGTGCTGCCTTCTACTTAAAATGCTGGGGAAGGAGCGAGCATGACTGTTAGAGCAGTCTCATCATCTGGAAATGGGAGAGAAGCAGTGGTGATTGGAAATTCTCTGGAAAGTCATAGAATCACAGAATCATTTAGGTTGGAAAAGAGCTTTAAGATCATCGAGTCCAACCGTTAACCCAGCACTGCCAAGGCCACCACTAAACCATGTCCCTAAGCACTGTATCTACCCAGCTTTTAAATACCTCCAGGGATGGGGACTCAACCACTTCCCCAGGCAGCCTGGGCCAGGGCCTGACACCCCTTTGGGTGAAGAAGTTTTTCCTAATATCCAACCTAAACCTTCCCCAGCACAACTTGAGGCCTTTTCCTCTCATCCCATCGCTTGTTACTGGGGAGAAGAGACCGACCCCCGCCTCACTACAGCCTCCTTTCAGGCAGTTGTAGAGAGCAATAAGGTCTCCCCTCAGCCTCCTCTTCTCCAGACTAAACAACCCCAGCTCCCCCAGCTGCTCCTCATAGGGCTTGTGCTTGGGTCTTTTAATCACACATGACTAACTATCGAGTACTGAGCAATCCACTGCATTTTCATGTGATCCAGCTGTCTCAGAGTGGGTCCACCAGGCCACAAATCCCTTACTCATTCACCTCCAGAACTTCTATCATGCTAAACCAGAAGAGACATTGATCTTCAAGAAGCTACAAGAACTGCATTAAAAAAAAAAAAGCTTCTGGTCCAGGCTTTAAGCAGATCAGGAGCAGGAACAAGGCAGCAGGGCATGACTTTTGGCTTGGGATATAAAGGGGATATATGCACTGAGATAATAGCATCAGGTGACGCCTTCTTACTGGCTTTTCTAGGAGTATTTGATTAAAGTAGGAAATCTAAGCCGAGGAGCAGTTCAGATGATCGGTGACTTGTTGAACGAGGACTCCGGATTTTATCTGTCCTTCCTTGCCTCGCTGTGGGATTTTGATGTCTTCTCTAACGAGAGGTAAGACAATGTCTCTCATGGCAAACCCCATTTTGTGCTGGTCCACAGCAATTCACCAGAAGAGGAAATTTCAGTGGCATTTAGATGTCTGAATGGGAACCGCTCCTGACTCAAGGGGCCACCACGCTCCGTTAGCATCTCTAGAAGAGGTCAGATTTTACAGTTCTTAAACCCCAGTGTCCTTCCCTCACATCCTTCTTCCTTTCAGTTTTGATGAAATCACAGGGGGATTTGACCAACTGCCCAAAGCCTTCCACGAAGCGTTGCCCGATGTCATCCAATTCAATTGCACGGTGGAGAAAATCATGACCAAGGGAAACAAAGTCCATGTGTTTTACCGCGCTCCGGACACTCTGGCTCCAAGCACAGTAACTGCAGATTACGTCCTTGTCACATCTACCGCCAAAGCCACCAGGCACATCCGATTCCTGCCACCGCTCTCTCCTCCGAAGGCCCACGCCCTGCGCTCCATTCACTACGCAAGCTCCTCCAAAATAGTCTTGGCTTGCTCCGAGAAGTTCTGGGAGAAGGACGGCATCAGAGGAGGGCAGTCCATCACTGACCGCCCTTCACGGTTTATCTACTATCCCAGCCACAACTTCTCCAGCGGGGTGGGTGTGATCCTGGCTTCCTACACCTGGAACGATGATGCTGAGTTTTTCCTGCCTCTCACAGATGAGAAGTGCCTGGATGTGGTCCTCCAAGACCTGTCAGATATCCACCAAGTGAGCAAGGAGTACCTGCAGTACACCTGCGACCAGTACGTGATACAGAAGTGGCAACTGGACAAACACTCCCTGGGGGCATTTGCTGCCTTCACCCCTTACCAGTTCGTTGACTACTCGCAGGCTCTCTTCGAGCATGAGGGCAGGGTGCATTTTGCAGGAGAACACGCAGCTCAGCCTCACGCCTGGATCGACACCGCCATGAAATCAGCCATCAGGGCTGCGAGCAACATCCACCATGCCAGCAGTGAAGCCCAGATGCTGAACGAGGAGGAGGAGGAGGAGCAGAGAAGGAGCTTCTTGCAGAAGGAAGATCTCTGAGCGGGACTCCTGGGCTGAGCTTGCGGGATGCCACCAGCACGGTTTGAAGGCACTTTGGTGGTGTAAACCTGTTTCTTTCCAAGCAAAGTCGGCAGAAGGACATCAGCAGCTAAGGCGTTAAAGAAAAACCTCAAAGAGCACTGACCGTCATCAGACAGGACGAATACCTACGTGGTTAAACACTTCACGAGGATAGAAGGGAGCACTAAAAAAATGTTTAAGTAGGTTTCACGACTCTAATATTACCCTGGCTCAGATACACTGCCATAATTTCTAATTTATTTCTGTACAAAGTACTTCAGGAAATGACTATGATGGAATAAATGTGGGTATTTCTCAGTTCTTTGTGTCTGGGGTGCCTCCATCTCTCTGCAGAGAGAAGCATCATCACATATGAATTGTCTCGCCTCACTTCAGCCATTTAGAAACTCATCACCCATTGCCTGGGTCTTCCTCCCCTTCCAGAATTTGGAAGATAACTCATTGCTTCTGAGTCATCATCTCCTTTGTGTAGCCCAACACAACCACTCCTAACCCCCACGGGTACCTGATCTCTAACCTCCATAGTCCCTTCTACCCATCTCCTCTCTAGCTGAGCTCAAAGCACGGCCAACACCAAGGTATAGAGACAGACTGAACATCATTAATATAAAAAACAAGTCCAGAAGCAATATAGCCTGTGCCTAGAGATGTTAATGGCTTTTACTGGAGTTTCTCCTCTCACCAGTAACTGTTGTCCTAAGTTTCATGGTCTTGGAAACTCAATCTGTGCTGCAGGTGGGTTTTTTTTTCAGATTATTGGAAGGATATTGATAAATAAGCAAAAGGAAAAAGAAGACCAGCTGCTAAGCACATCATGCCAGACCTTTGCTGCAGTCACTTAGCTGCTTTGCATATAATTCATCTTGCTTCCCATAAAACACAACCCTGCCTCTCAACCTCTGACTCCACATAGCTGGAGGGAAATGGTCTTCTCCAGCCCGAGAAACAGAGGTTCAGCTCTCACTAGAGGAAGCAGGGACAGAACTGGGGGAGATCATTACACCCAGGGAAGGACTGGACCTAATTAGACCCAGCAGATTTCCACCAGGCATTGCAGAGACAAAGATTTGCACTAGCTTTAAAGCATTTAAACACAGGTGATGATTAAATAAGTACAGAGGGATCAACACCGGCATGTCAAGAGCTTGGCCAGGTGGCTCCTTGCAAGGAGCTCAAATCACTTTTAGGGAGGCCCAACCACCCTCAGTGGTCTTTTGAAATTCAAAATTTTATGGCTAATCATTATCAGGTTTCCTTCATCTAATCAGGAGTTGTAACAAAAATATGTGCTGTGCCATAATAAGCAGCACGGTGACCTAGGGCTTTTGATGTGACGCAAAACCACGCATGTAATCTCAGGTCAGGGCAAGCGAGGAATTGCACCACAGCAGAAAACCGATCAAAAGCCTGCAAGCACCTCCTTAAGCTTAGAACGGAGCCGGTCATGACATGCAGCATCAGTTGCACTGGGAAAAGCACACTGTAAAATTTAAAGCGTTGCAAAAAGAGAAAACAGAAGGATTTTACCCACTCACTTTATCACATCGCTCTGAGCGGGTTTTGTGTGTTATAACTGCACGTTGTTCCCAGCCTTTGCGGAACACTAGCTCCCTTTCCCCAAACAAATTGCTTTAGCAAAGCAAATGCTGTCTTTAACGTTTAAGCTCATCCTAACTCAGACCTGCAGGCTCTTCGCTAGAGCAACCTCATGTCAGGGCACAGCAAGAGCTGGTGGCTATTGAAGGGCTGGTGGCTACTGAAGGGCTGGGACCCCCCCAGCAGGGCAGCATCCCACCGCCCGCCGCTCCACCCCACGGTACCTGAGCAAGGCGCGGATGCTCCTCCAAGGCAGCTTGCAAAAGGAGCAAATGCCTGGGCCTGAGCTTAAATAGAGCCCCTGGGCCATGGGGAGGGTGGGGCTGGCAGGCAGGGCTGCTCAGGGCAATCAGAGCCCATTAGCAGCATCTCCCCTCTCTGCAGGCATCACCAATGATTTTGCAGTGAAGGTGGGGAAGCAAAAAAAAAAGACCCTCCCTCGTCCCTGGGTGGGCTCGAACCACCAACCTTTCGGTTAACAGCCGAACGCGCTAACCGATTGCGCCACAGAGACACGCCAAAAAGCCTGAAAATAGCGAAAAATCATGCAAAGGTCAAATTTCACTCGTTTTTCCAAAACCAGACCAGCATTACCTGCTTTTAACACCCCAACAGCTGTAAAAAAAATAACAGAGAAGGAAGGAAGGAAAAATGAGCCTGGTGCAAAGCTCAGCTTAATTTCAGCAGTGCAAAGCGGGGGCCTAGGGGAGAAAGGATGGGGAGGAGGATGGGGAGGAGGAAGGTGGCCTGGTCAAAGGGACGGGGCCGGGGACACGTGCCCTTTGCTGTTGAAACCCTGCGGGGTTGGCTTCAGAGGTGGCCCTCAGCATGGGTAGTAACAGTGGGAACAAGGCTAATAATGAGCATTTTAAGTCTTGCCCTGAAATGCCCCCTCAGGACATCCAGCATCTTTTTTAGCCTGGACATTTGACGTTTGCGTTTTCACATTAGCAGTACCAGTATCACCAATGCTTGAGTTATTATTCGCAGAAGGATGGATAGGAGGAGAGCTGGAAAGATGCCCTGGGTGGAAAAAGAAAAGCAAATCCTCCTGCTTCCAACCAGCTCTGCCCAAATCCTTCGCGTGCAGCTCTTGGGAGCACCGTCAGGCTCTGATCCCTGCTGCTGATGGGCTTGGGGTTGCAAATTAAAAATCACCTGAAAAGAAAATCAAAAGCCTTGCGATGCTGAAGTAATGTGTTAACGGCGACGTTTGGGTTTGTCATCATTAACGGTAGTACCGGGGATGATTTCAGAAGCGAGTCCTGGAAATTGTGGCAATAGAAAAGTGTATCAATCCCCCCCAAAAAGGGCTCGTCCGCGATTTGAACCCAGGACTTCTCACACCCAAAGCGAGAATCCTACCCCTAGACCAACGAGCC